CCTGGAGAGCGAGAGGCGTCGGTGCGCACCGACACCCTCTCGCTCTCCAGGCTCCAGGAAGCTATCCGCAAGCCTTGCACGCCCGGGGGGAGTTCCCCTAGGCGTGCAAGGCTTGCAGAGGCGGGAGCCTGCAGCGCGGAGCACGGGGCTCCATCCGTAGGACGCCCCATGCTCCGCGCTGCAGGTTGCGGCTAAGGACACTGAGAGCTTGCCTAAGGACACTGAGAGTTATTGGGAGACTCCTGTTCCCCTCACAAAGCTACCATTCCCAGACAATCAATCCCTCTTCACAGGGAACTCTGAGAATTGTAGCTCTGGCAGGCTTCATTCGGACTCATGGCTGATAACCTGGGGAGCAGAACTGGCAATTTTGTAAAGGAAGAAGCAGGCCAGACGTAAAGTGACTTCTAGTCCAGAATCTTCAGAGAGTCTGAGTGGAACAAGGAGGCAGAAGGAGCCGTAGCAGAAACTGAGGAGTGGATACAAAAACAAACAGAGAGATTCCCAAGCATAGAGGAACAAGGCCATCCCACCACCGTCCCCAGCAAGTAGCTAGAACCTTGTCCTCCATCCACACCCTCAGCTAAACACTGCAAGGTCCCAGGCTCATTCATCGCAGCTCCAAGGAACCTGGCCAGGTGAGAGGTTGCATGAGCTGCTTCTGAGACGTTGCAGGCTGTGGGCACGCTTTGCCACTCCCCAGCCACGCTTCCTTCTCACAAGAGGTCACAACACCTACAAGGCCACAAAGGACTGTTAAGCAACTAGGTTGTTCCACTCAGAGTAGACCCATTGGAATTCCTTCACTTGTTAGGCCACATTCGCACCATACATTTAAAGCACTACAATGCCACTTTAAAACAGTCCTGACTTTCCCCAAAGGGTTCTGGGAGCTGTACCATGAAGGGTGCCATTAAGGAGGCCCCTCTCCCCTTCACAGAGCTATAATTCCCAGATGTCCCTGAGGAGAGGGATTGTTAAACCACTGTAGGAACTGTAAGCTTTAGGAGGGGAATGGGGGTCTCCTGACAACTCTTGGCACTCTTCACAAACGACAGCTCCCAGAACCCTTTGGGGGAAGCCAGGACTGTTTAAAGTGGTATCATGGCACTTTATGATGTGGATGTGGGCTGAGAGAGCTAGCAGGGCAAAAGCAGGAGACACCCTTTCCTGGGAATGAGGCCTAAGAAGATGCCATCAGGCAGGGGAGCCAGAAATAAGGATAGAAAACCAACGCACCATTGCCCAAGTGAAGTCCAAGCTTGACCCTGACACTTTTTGTTAGCTCTTTCAAATCAGGAAGTTGAATTGTATCAAATCAGGCTGCTGGGGTATTTGTTATACACTGGCTGGCAGCAGCTCTCCAGGGTTTCAAACAGATGTCTTTCTCAGCTTTACCTGGGACTTTCAGCAGGCAAAGCAGGTAGTCTCCCTCTGGACTGTGGCCCTTTCCCCGCCTAGCCTGACGGTAGGCAAGTGTGGTGTGTACACCAGAAGAAGTGGTGTGGGCTGGTGGCTCTTGAGTCACCTTCCTCCAGCTTCCATTGATTATGTTTTCCATTCTTCCGCACCCTCTGTGCAGACACTTGGTTGTTGCTGGGTTGCCTGTTTTGAATTTTAAACTCTTAAATCTATTCCTTTTCCTCAGAGATACAAAAGAAGCCCCAATGCAAGTGGTAAAAGGATAAGCAGCTGCTAAATGGATCTCACTTCGACTAGGGGCAACCCATGTGGTGTGGTGCCCTCCATATCTTTTGGGTGAAGGTGCATTGCCCAGTCCAGTACCAGCAGCGTATTCAGGGCACCCCATTAGAGGGTGGAAGTCTCTGTCCAGAAGCCAAGCATGGGGCAGGCGGGCCTTAGAGCTTCCAGCAAATGGCCTTAGCATGGCCACCTCAGTAGCTTGGGGTCTCGGAGAGGCCAAAGTCCTTGGCATAACCCTGAAAATGTTTCAGCCCTCCGGCAGCAGGCTAGGACAAATAGACACCCGATGCCTGCGCCAAAATTCCACCTACTTCTGCAGTCAATAAAGCTGTGGCCATTTTTAATCCAGATTGTTGTCTGGTTGAGTTGATTTTATCACTCCTTGTTTTAGTCACTGCCTGGGGGAGAGTGGAGTTGCGACTGAGGCCACAATTGCCTCTTACTCAGACCAGACACAACCAGTGTGGTGGGGGGGGGCCTCCACATACAGTATTTTGGAATTCAGCTCCCATCAGCTGAATCAGTGATCAAGGGTGATAGGAATTGTAGTCCTCAACATCTGGAGGCACTGCATTGCCAACCCCTATACTAGACGAACAAGGCAGCTTTGTGGGAGGGGAATTTATGTGTGTTTCTTTTTTAGGTGCTGAACTCCAAGGCAATACGGGCCGATTCCCTCCTTGGGGTCTCCAGGGTGCAATTTGGGCTGATATCTACAGAGAGGCAGAAATCAAGAGGTGCCTCCCTGCTGGTGCTGCTCAGTGGGCCTGAACTCAGGACTGGGCCTTGAGCTGCCCTGGGCTGGCCCCCAAGACAAGGGAAAGAGTCTTTTTCAGAAGTTCTGATCTCTCAGCCAAGCTTTTGACATTCATTCATTCATTCATTGTTTGTTTGTTGTTTTACCACTGGTAGCACTCAACATCTGGCAACATCCAACACTTAAACAGGCTCTATTTATGGCAGCTAATTACATTAGAGCAACAACTACTAAATGCAATGTTATATTAGGGTAACGTTTGCCTGTACAGGCATACATCAGTGAAAATGCCATACAAAAATGCATGATCATAGGGGAGAGTGCTTGCAAACATGTCTATATTTGTCAAAACTGCATTTAAGAATTAGGGGAAATTCACACTAAGAAAACCAAATTGCTGCAGAAATGTGAAGAACTGAATTTAAGATTGGAAAAAGGAGAAACTTAGAAAACCAGAATTTGTAAATCCCTAGTCCCAGCTCATACCTTGGGTTGGTTTCCTTGGAGTGAAGGCCACGGAAGGCTGATGGTGATTTCTGTGGTAGAAGGTTTATAAACACAGGCTGAGCATCTTCTGGAAGGTTTACAGCATTAATCTTCCAGCTGATCATCTCTTCCTCCTACTTTAGGTTCCTGGGTGGGTCACCAAAGGCATAGCTTTGGATTCTTGCAGAGAGCAAGTCAGGCCTCTGTGTCTCTTCTGTAGCTCCAGCCCCCAGACGGCCATTCTCCTGTGTCCTTTTCCACACAGAAAAGGTCTTGAAGACGTCCCCTTTAGCCAGGGAGAGGGAGGGAGACACACCCTCTTCCACTGACCACCCAGAAGAGCCTCCAGAGATTTAGAGTTTCTGTGACAACACATTAGCATACATTACAATACAGATACTTAATAGACCTGCCTATGCTATTTCCTTAATAAAGAAGCATTTGACCATTTTAGCAATCTCCCCTATTCCTGTGGAACCCCATTTTAGTTATAAAATCACAGGATTGGAAGGGAACCCCACCTCCCGCAAAAAGGAAAAACCACCACAATTTAGTCTAACCACAAACTCTTTGCAATATTCTGAATTGCCCTGAAATTTCCCCACAGCTCAATTTTTCCTTTCCTTGACAATTCCTGTAACTCCTTCTGTTTTTCTCTCTCTGCAGATTGAGATCGAGCTTGTGTATGAATCTCCAGGTACTTTTGTCTTGAGCCAGTGGCGAGTTTGAGGGCTCTTGGGAGGCAGGGTGTCCAAGACCCTTCAGCCACTGTTCCCTTCCTCCGCCCTCCATTGGGCTTTGTGCTCCATCCTCACATCACAAGCTCCATGGATGTTTTTGGTGTCAGATCCTGTTAATTGTCCTACTGGTTGTTTTGTGCTAATATGCTTTTTATATTGTAGTGCATTATATTTGTATTACATATTACAGCTGTTGTGCTACTACTATATTTAAATTGCCTATTTTCTATGTATATTTGTGGGAAATGAAATATAAACCGGTTATTGTAGGACATGGGATGGTATTACTACGCTATAGAGCCCGTCAGATTTGAGTATATGGTGATGGCAATTGAAGGCAATTGAGAGTGAGAGCTAGTGAGGCAATGTAAGCAATCGGATTAACCTTTTCACAAGGAGTGCCTCAAAGAATTGGAAAAGGAAGCCCTCATCAACAGGGCCAAAACCATTCATGGAAACTTGTGAAAAGTTTCAGCTCAGACCTCAGATTTAGGGCTTGACAGCTTATATTACCTACAGAGTAAGGAAAGAGGGACTCTGACCAGGTCACACAGTTTTATATTGACGTTTGACAAAAAGGAAGCATCCTTGTGATACTGTTCCTCATAGCAACTCCCCTGCGAGGACTTTTTAGTTAAGAGAAAAGGTGGGCAAGAGGTGAAATGACAGAGGTGTCTAAAATGATGCCTGGCCTGGAGAAAGTGGACAGAGAAATGTTTTTCTCCCTCTCTCATAACACCTGAACTCATGAACAACCAATGATGTTGGAAGATTCAGGACAGATAAAAGAAAGCCCTTCTTCACAAAGCAGTTAAACAGTTAAAATATTGAACTGTGGAACTCACTGCCACAGGAGGCAGTGATGGGCCGCCATCGAGGATGGCGTTAGAAAAGGATGGAGGAAAAGGCTGTCCTTGGCAATCAATGGCTGCTGGCCATGATGACTATGCTCTGCCTCCATGGCTGGAGGCAGCAAGGCTTCTGAAGACCAGCTGCTGGAAACCCCGGGGAGAGAGGGCTCTTGGGCTCGGGTCCCAAAGGGATCTGACAGGCCCTGGTGAGAACAGGATGCTGGCCAAGCCTGATCCAGCAGGATCTTCGAATGTTTTTCAAATGAATGTCTGTCCACAATTAGATGGCACTTCTGGATGGTGTGAATGTTGGCTCTTGTTCTTTTCCCTAGGTCATGCTCTGATGGGCAAATGGCTGAGCCTCTATGGCCCAGCTAATCTCAATGCCGGACTAAGGGGCTATGTGAAAGTTCACCTCTGTGTCCTTGGAGCTGGAGATCAGGCGCCGGTAAAAATCTTTACATTACAACATCTTCACCACCTCAACAGAGGCTTGTCACGGGCATTCAAGTTCATGTGATGCCATTGGCAGCTATTAAAATGATGGGGTGCCTTGTTTGGATAATGGAATAAAGCATCATTTTTCAAGACTGGTAGGTCAGACGCCTGTGGGACGCGGGTGGCGCTGTGGGTAAATCCTCAGCCCCTAGGGCTTGCCGATTGCATGGTCAGCGGTTCGAATCCCCGCGGCGGGGTGAGCTCCCGTCTTTCGGTCCCAGCTCCTGCCCACCTAGCAGTTCGAAAGCACCCCTAAAGTGCAAGTAGATAAATAGGTACCGCTTTCTAGCGGGAAGGTAAACAGCGTTTCCGTGTGCTGCTCTGGTGCCGGCTCGCCAGAGCAGCTTCGTCACGCTGGCCACGTGACCCGGAAGTGTCTCCGGACAGCGCTGGCCCCCGGCCTCTTAAGTGAGATCGGCGCACAACCCTAGAGTCGGTCACGACTGGCCTTCGGGCAGGGGTACCTTTACCTTTACCTAGGTCAGATGCCAACTTGCTAAATGGTTTAGTAGAGCAGGACAGGCTGACTAGACAAGCAGAACTCTTGGTGGCCTTGTACCAGCAGCCTAAATAGGAAGAACTTGGGATTTTAGCAGCAACATTTTTAAGAAGATAAATATTATCTATACCTGGTCCTGCTACAGGATGCCAACATCAGCTCAGTTAGTTAGAGTGTGGTGTTGAGAACATCAAGGTTGCGGGTTCAGTAAGGGACAGCTGCATATTCCTGAACTAGATGATCCTCAGGATCCGTTCCAACTATGATTCCATGATTCTACTAAGTGGGGTCCCCACCCAAATTCCTATGCCAGACTGGGATGGTGGACATGGAGTGTTAGACTTATTCCTGTGGGGAACAAGGTTCAAACTCCTATTTTGCCCTGAAGCTCAGTGGGTGAATGGGGTCCAGTTGCTCCATCTTGACCTTACCACCTGTCTCGATTTGCACCTGCCCCTACATTAAGAACTTCACAGGAAAGCTGCTTGGGGTTCCCCCACTATCTAAAGGGCCTTTCGGGTAGTAGCACTCCAGCCATGGAACACCCTCCCCAGAGAAGTTTGCCTGAAGCCTGTCTTTTGTTTGTTGTTGCTTTTCCTTCTCTCACCTTTTGCAGATAATTTTAATTGCTCTTGCAATTCTGTGGTCTTTAGCTTTATTTAAGTTTTATTTGTGCCTATATTTGAACTGTTGCAGACTTTTCCAGGAACATGAACAAGCAGCGGGAAAAGACCTATAATTAATTCATTACCTTACCTCATAAGGTTGTTTTGAAAACAGAACCATGAATTCTACTCTGAGTACCTGGCTAAATCGAAAAGGCCCACCTTACACCATTGCCTGCCCCCATGTGGCCCTCCTGTGTGGCTCACCACAGGAAGAAGCTACAGGACAGCAGGTCCCACATGCCAGATCTACTGTTTTCTTGGGAGACGGCCTGCCTGTTAAACTGGGTTGAGTTTTCCACAGCTTTCCTTGCATAACTGTCGGCTGGTTCCAACATTGCATTTGTTCCTGCTACAGTGTTTGTGCTTCTTTTGCAGCTGCCACTGAAATGAACACAGAAAATGCCCTGTTTGAATCTGAAACTCCCTCCGTGTTCTGTAGAGATGGTCTGTGACAGCTTTCACCCACCTAGGGCCCTCCCGATATTTGAGACTGAAAAAGGATTATGGGGAAGGGAGCTCCCTGACAGAGCACCTGCTTTGCTTGCAGGAAGTCCTGCCCCCCCCCCCCCCGCATCTCCAGGTGGGGCAGGGAATGTCTCCCATCCAAAGTCTTGGGAGCCATTGCTGGTCAGTGTGGACAGCACTGTGCCAGGTAGGCCAATGGCCTGATCCATGACAAGGCAGCTTCCTGTGTTCCCATCCATCCCCACCAGCACAGCTGGGGCAGGCTGGGGCTGATGGGGGTTGTGAGCCAAAAACATCTAGAGGGCCACCAGCATCTGGGTCACAGGTTTATGTTGCGCCTTTCTCTTCTCCAAGGATGCAGCCCATTTGCCAGACAGTGGCAATTTGGAAGCCAACCTCCTGCAGGCAGCAGTAATGCCAGCAGTACGCAGAGCCATGCTCCAGCTCTTTGTATACCGAGCAGAAGATTTGTCTCCAAGTAAGTTTGCCCCCCCCTCTCTCCACACACACACACACACACACACACACATACACACACACTATTACTTCTGTTTGGCCAGTGCTTTCTGGGCACAAGTTCGAGAAGTTTTTCGTTTGCCCGTCTGCTTTCCCCAGAAAACTCACTGTTTACTGCTGAATCTGGTGGCAGTTTTAGTCTTGCTTTAGGTGTTTTTGTTGTCTCAAGTGTTATTAACGGTTTTAAATTACCTTATGTGTAAATTGCCTTGAGAAGGAGGTTAATAAATCAATGGTGTGGGGGTGGGGTGGGGGGTGTATGTATGGGGTATTTTTTTAAAAAAGACCTGATGAAAAATCAACAGCCTTTTTGATGGGTTATTCTTCTCTTTTTGGATGATGAATTATTCTTAATGTCAGTAGGAATTGGTGGTGTTTGTTTTTTCCTCTTCCTTCTCCCTTTCCCCCCTCTGCTATATTTGTAATAAAACACACACATAAGAGCACCTCTGTGCAAATAAATAAAAAGAGGGAAGAGAGAATGCCACTTTTTTTCCAGAGCAACTACAGTGGTGCCCCGCAAGACGAATGCCTCGCAAGACGAAAAAACCGCTAGACGAAGAGAATCGCGGAACGGATTTCTGCAGTTCTAAAGCACATCAAAGTGCAAGTAGATAAATACCGTTGTAGTTGTTTTTTGCTCTATAAGACGCACTTTTCCCCTCCTAAAAAGTATGGGGAAATGTGTCTTCATTTTATGGAGTGAATGCTATCGCTGAAGCCAGAAGAGCAAGAGGGATTGGTGCGCAGCGATCCCTCTTGCTCTTCTGGCTTCAGGGATAGCCACGCAAAGCCTCATGAGCGCAGTGGGAGCATTCCTCCCTCTTCACTCAAGAGGCTTTGCATTGCTTTCTTGTTTCTTGTTTTCCTCCTCTAAAAACTAGGTGCGTCTTATGGTTGGGTGTGTCTTATAGAGCGAAAAATATGGTAGGTGCTGCTGTGGCAGGAAGGTAAACGGCATTTCCGTGCGCTCTGGTTTCCGTCACGGTGTCCTGTCCGGTTTAGACATGCTGGCCACATGACCCGGAAAGCTGTCTGCGGACAAATGCTGGCTCCCTCAGCCTGAAAGCGAGATGAGCGCCACACCCCATAGTGGCCTTTGACTGGACTTAACCGTCAAGGGGGCCCTGACCTTTTACCTTTCCATAGATAGACCCAAGCTCCCAGAGTTTACCAAACTATTTTTAAAGTCAGCAAAGACTGGGCCAATGGACTCTAGGGTTTTTGCATAAAGAAGGTGTGGTAGAGCATGTGCAGAGTGCTTCCCCACCTAGTCACTCACAGCAACCAAAAGTGCCACCTGAGAGGCAAGGTTTCCTGGACACAAAGCACCTATCCCTCATTTTGGAAATTGATCACTGGCAATGAACAAAGAAGTGCAATGGTTATGGGAACTTGTGACTCTCCAAACATGGTTGGACTGCCAACTCCCATCAGCCAGCATGGCCAATAGGGACAAGGATGGGATTTGTTGTCCATCAACCAGGCTACCTGGCCATGCATTAAAAAAAAGATGGCAGAACTGAGAAGGAAGCAGGGGCAGTAAAGGCAAGTGATGGTCTGGTTCATTGATGGGGAACCTGCAGCATTTGAGATGAGATTCTACTTCCCATCAGCCGCAGCTGCCATGGTCAGTGGTCCCTAGGGGCAGTGAAGACAAGTGACGGTCTAGTTCAGAGGTGGAGAAACAGTAGCCCTCCAGCCAACATGGCCAGCGGTCAGAGCTGTGATGCACGGTATAAAGGTAAAGGGACTCCTGACCATTAGGTCCAGTCGTGACCGACTCTGGGGTTGCGGCGCTCATCTCACTTTATTGGCCGAGGGAGCCGGCGTACAGCTTCTGGGTCATGTGGCCACCATGACTAAGCCGATTCTGGCAAACCAGAGCAACACACGGAAACACTGTTTACCTTCCCGCCGGAGCGGTACCTATTTATCTACTTGCACTTTGACGTGCTTTTGAACTGCTAGGTTGGCAGGAGCAGGACTGAGCAACAGGAGCTCACCCCGTTGCGGGGATTCGAACCGCCGAACTTCTGATCGGCAAGTCCTAGGCTCTGTGGTTTAACCCGCAGCGCCACCCGCGTCCCATTGATGCAAGGTATTGGGGGCTGTGGGACAGCGGGTGGCGCTGTGGGTAAAAGCCTCAGCGCCTAGGGCTTGCCGATCGAAAGGTCGGCGGTTCGAATCCCCGCGGCGGGGTGCGCTCCCGTTGTTCGGTCCCAGCGCCTGCCAACCTAGCAGTTCGAAAGCACCTCCGGGTGCAAGTAGATAAATAGGGACCGCTTACTAGCGGGAAGGTAAACGGCGTTTCCGTGTGCGGCTCTGGCTCACCAGAGCAGCAATGTCACGCTGGCCACGTGACCCGGAAGTGTCTGCGGACAGCGCTGGCCCTCGGCCTCTTGAGTGAGATGGGCGCACAACCCTAGAGTCTGTCAAGACTGGCCCGTACGGGCAGGGGTACCTTTACCTTTACCTTTATTGGGGGCTGTAAAGGCAAGTGCTCCAGTTGCAGCTCATCCCAGCACTTAGATTCTTGCTGGGAACACCTTGAACCCTGGGTGCTGCATCCGAAGGCTAAAAGCTTTTGCTTTCCCCTTTCCTTCTGCACAGGTGTCCTCAACGTCGGGCAGGACCGCAGCTCTTACCAGCCCATCGACCACCTGGAGCCGCTGCGCCCCTACCCAGACGTGACTACCAAGGCCTCCCCACCTCCTCCTTATTGAGGCGTCCCTTGAACCGTCCAAAGAACACTGGGCCCTTTCCTTTCTGCGCTGGGGAACAAAACCGTCTTCGCCACTTAGCCCCAACCCCACTTCTTCCTCCCCACCAGAGGAAGCGTGGTTTCTAAAAACCAGTCTAGGAGGGGAGGAAAAAAACTTTGGCAACAAAGCAGCCTGTGGCTTCGACTTGAGGGTTTTGTCATAGTTTCTGCTGCGAATCCAGAGCGCACCTTGGACAACGATGTTTTAAAGCCCCCCCCCCCCCCGATCCCAGAAATGTCATATGTACAACTCTCTACAATTTCCTTCTGCAATAGCAAAGTTCTCTGTATTTTTTTCCAGCCACATTGATGCTGATCGATTCAGCCTCTCAAGGCTACCCTGGGAAGAGTAGCCCCCCCAATAAAATAGTCCCCCCCTCACTAAGAGACTCAGCAAGAGAGTTGTTAGCTGGAGGATCTGTCTGCTTACAGGAGCCAGCTAATATTATTTCCAAAGAGCAATCCATGCCCTTGCCCGTTGCTGCAACTGTGCCATTTTTCTGCCGATGATTTGCTGCAGGCACACACCTTCTGATGACTGCTGTAGGTGTGCTGATCGTTTTTCTCTCTCAAAAACACTTTTGTGCCTTAGAGAAAACACACAGCCTTCCTTTCTTCCCCTGTTCTTTGTATGTATGATTGTTTTCCTAGATAAAATTAAAGAACCCTTTTAATAAAACGTTTCAGTCTTGAGTTTGATCATGTGGCTTCTTTCTGCTAGGCTCACTTCTTGGTTTGAGCTGTAACAGCTGAGGGATGGGGGGAAAAACAGAAGTCATAGAAGAATCATAGAGGTGGAAGGGACCCTGGGGATCATCTAGTCCAGCATCCCATGGTTGCAAACCAGATGCAGCAAGGAAAAACCCACAAGCAGGACACAAGCTCCAAAGCACTCGCCCCGTAATAATAAACCACAATAGCCAGTTGTCCCGCGTGAATTTGTCCCATGGACTGCAAGAAGATCAAACCTATCCATTCTTAAGAAAATCAGCCCTAAGTGCTCACTGGAAGGACAGATCCTGAAGCTGAGGCTCCAAGACTTTGGCCACCTCATGAGAAGAGAAGACTCCCTGGAAAAGACCCAGATGTTGGGAAAGATGGAGGGCACAAGAAGAAGGGGACGACAGAGGACGAGATGGTTGGACAGTGTTCTCGAAGCTACCAGCATGAGTTTGACCAAACTGCGGGAGGCAGTGGAAAACAGGAGTGCCTGGCGTGCTCTGGTCCAGGGTGTCACGAAGAGTAAGACATGACTAAACGACTAAACAACAACAACACATAGTTGTAATTCAACCAGTGTTTAATTGCTTTTTAATTGTTGATTTTCCCGCCTGGCCCCAATATTTTTAGCTTGTCTTATTTTCATCCGTGAGCTGCCTTGAGTCCCCGTCAGGAAAATAAATATGTGATCATTCTAATAATAAATTCAAGCCAGGCATTTTTCATCCCTATATACAGTACAATGCTGGCAAGAGAGGAAGGCCACCCATAACTTAAAGTGCGGAGGTGAAACAAGCATATGATCCTCGGATGAAGGGTGTCATAGAAATTTGATGTATTTATTTTACTTTAATAAATATAATAATGATATTGCCTTGACCTGCTTGGCCAAAAAAATCTCACATGGCTTTTGGATTCAGCAAAACCCAGGGGGACCGCAGTGAAACTGCAAGGCCACACCTGCACACTCCTGGCCCATTGTCCCAGGCCAGGTGAGCAAGAGGTCTCCTTTCCACTGACATCATTGCACTCCTGATGTTGCCATAAATAACGCTGTGACCTCATGTCTCCAGGGGCTTGGGGGCCCCTAGCAACGCTGGTGAGGAGGAGCCACATTATCAGAGAGTTTTTATTTCCTTTTGCCCCCTGAAGATTACAGATTACAGATCACAAAGAGGCGAAGGAGAATATCAGGTAAAATAACTCCTGCGTGTTTTCAGCCCTAAAGAATCTCAGTCTTAGGACAGGAGAACTAATGAAGGCAAGGAGGCCTCTGAACATATGCAAAGTGCCTTTCCTTTCACCACTTGAGTTGCAGCAACCCAATCACCTTCTTCTTGCTGCTCCAGCCTGACACTCTGCAACTAGGGGAGACGCAAGACCCTCTTGGGGTGTCGATGGTGTGAACCCCTCCATCATAGGCTCAGGTTGCATAGATGTGTAAATCAACCATAGATCCTCAAGAGATCACCGTCTCCGCTGCCCCTCAATCCCAAAAGTAAACACAAACCCTGGGTGAATGCCTGGAACCCGTGGACTCTCGCACCACAGAGATTGGGTTGGCGTGCAGCAATAGGGAGGGATTGCTTGCTGCCCCTCAAGTGGTGAAAGGAAGGGGAGTCCAAAGGGGTTCCCAATGAGCAAACCAACCAGGGGCCATTTCCTCTCTTGCAGGATGAAACCCTTCCTGCAGACATTCTGGTGCCTGAAAAAGAAGGACCAGGAAAGTAATGAAAACATCCAGGAGAGCAACCAGGGGCAGCGGGACAAGCTGGAGGCCCCGTCATCTAGTCTGCCAACAAAGTGCCACCCATGACCCGGCTGGCCAGAGAACCTCCCAGCTCTTGCCCATGCTGGTGAAAGCTTCCAATCACTGCGGAGGCCAGGAGGAAATCTCTGGCCCCTCCGGTAGTAGTCTTCCCAGGAGCGGTCCAGCGTCAGACCAGCACTGTTCAGCCAGTCGAGCAGCAGACAGGACTCCCAGGCAGCAGCGGCACTTGTTCCTGGGGGAAAAGAAAGCCCCGAGGATTCTGGGCCAGTGTTCCCAGGTGAGTAGACAGAACCAGATCCTTTCGGTTCCCCTTGGCAAGGCCTGCGTCATCCGAGGCCGGGGTCTCTCTTGGTTTCCTTGATCTCTGGGCGCAAGTCCCACCCACCCCACCCCTCCTTTTTAAGGCGTGTAACATGGAGCAGGACTTCCAGGTGGCTGCCCCTGTTCTGTTCTGAATTGCTGGGGTTGGACTAGTGACCCCGCAGGTCCCTTCAAACGCTACAGTTCTATGATCCCTTCTCAGTTATGGCCTGCATCTGCTATCTGCACTTCCAGAAACCATTTCCCCAGTTTGGTGAAAGGGGACAAATTCAACACAGCGCTAAGATTGCCACATTTGCTCAGACATTTCTGCTTTCCTGGTGGGACAACCTACCCGCTCCTTCCCCCCTGCATGCTTTGTTCTGGGGGTTCGCCTGCCTACCCCTGAGCCAATTAGGGGGTGCTTGGGGGCATATGGGGAGAAGAGAGGGGGGAAGCCCAATTGTGCTAGCAGAAGTCCAGGGTGCATGGAACGTACACACATGTGAGAAGTGTCTTGTAATTCTGGATATGCAGGAGTTTACAGTGAAGAGCAACGACAAGTAGTACTAGGAGCCGTGGGGAGCTCTTTCATTAGGAGGTCCCTGATGAAGGCTGGAATGACCCTCCGCCACCCCAGAAAGACCCTCCCCTGAAAGTTTACCCAGTATGATAGACAACCAGGTGGTGCCATTTGAAGCGTGCAGAGATGACATGGCCACCCTTTGGGGCTGCCATTGCCGGTCCGAGGAACTGAGCCGATGCGGCAGTTCTGTGGCCCCTTCCCCATGACCTGCTTCCTGAACCTTCGTCCGGATCCGTTTGCCAAAGTTTGTGGGAATGTTGAATGAGGTCAGCGAGTGAGCGCTCGTCCCAATTCATTCGCAGGGAGATGAGACAATGTTGCATCAAGAAAATGCTTGCTCCCACTTTCCATTCAAGTTTCCCTGTCACTTTTCCCACCACGAAAAATGTCTGATTTGGAGTCTGTTGGGGAGTGGGAAGTAGGTTCATTGTGCAAATCGCTTCAACCGAGCAACTTGACTCTGCCGACGTGCCATTGAATCCCATCTGGAAGGAGCAACTGGAAGCCCCCTGACAAAGAACTGACCTTTCCTCACGTCTGCCTCACTTACTCACCTCTCTCTTTCTCTTTCTCTTTCTCTTTCTCAAGAACTCTCAGATGAGAAATTTGGATACTTGTGGGCGGGTAAGAAGCTGCTGAGAGGAAGATCGCTCAGAGAAACTTTGGAGATGATGGATGAGCGGGAAATTTTGGACACCATCCTCCAACACCTCCAGCCAGCTCCCCAGGTGCGTGTGATGCAGGGTAAAGGTAAAGGTAAAGGTACCCCTGCCCGTACGGGCCAGTCGTGTCTGACTCTAGGGTTGTGCGCCCATCTCACTTAAGAGGCCGGGGGCCAGCGCTGTCTGCAGACACTTCCGGGTCACGTGGCCAGCGTGACGAAGCTGCTCTGGCGAGCCGGCACCAGCGCAGCACACGGAAACGCCGTTTACCTTCCCGCTAGAAAGCAGTCCCTATTTATCTACTTGCACTTAAGAGTGCTTTCGAACTGCTAGGTGGGCAGGAGCTGGGACCGAACAACGGGAGCTCACCCAGCCGTGGGGATTCGAACCGCGACCATGCGATCGGCAAGCCCTAGGCGCTGAGGTTTACCCACAGCGCCACCCGCGTCCCTTATGATGCAGGGTAGAGTTGATTTAAATCAAATC